TCCTCCAACATGGCCGACGTGATAATAACCAATAGTGTTTTTTTATATGACTTGAAAATTTAGCGAGTATATTAGCAAAGAGTGGGATCTATAGCCTCCCCTCCCTCAGCACCTCCCTCTTTGTAATGTTGTGGTGTCAAGTTTACACCCAAAGTTAATAGTGGATTTTCGATTATGTCTCATTGGAATGTCTCATTTAATACACAGCCTGGTGACCGAGCAGTCCTGGATGCTGGTATGAAGGCAGTCAGTCTTGATTCCGGTCCACCCACGGTGAGTTTTCCCAACACAGGTAGCCCAATCACAAATAAAAAGATTGGAATATCAGTTCACATGCTAACTATATTATTACCTAACACCTATGTAAAGTTATTTTTTTATGTTTCTAAAGGTAAAGAACCGTCCTGAGCTGGTTTACCACAGTGGAGGAGACGAACACGGTATTCTTAGACCGTCCGGCGATTTGAAGGTAATGCTAAAAGCAAGTTTTAGCTTTCATTTATTTCCATTTTTAATTTCTATTTAGATTATAGTTCATATTCCCAATTACTTTGCAATAAAAATATTAGTGAAGTAGGTATAATTTTTCTCTCGGAAATTGTACGTACATACCTTTGCTAACTCGGATAGGGGTCGCACATTTCTTTCTTTCTTGTGCAGCAAACATGTATTTCCACTTAGTTTCTTATATTTTCTTTCGTACATTTTGGACTTCTTTCTAATTCAGTACTTTTGAATACTTTTTTCTCTTCTTACTCCACCAATGCTGTAGTTCCGAATTCTATGTTGTACAGGGTTAGCCTCGATTGCATATAGAATTATTTTGAATACAGTATTCATATATTCAGTCAAGGTCCGTGGAATTTCAAAGTGTTTGTATTGTTGAAGTTGTGCATGCATTCTTTACTTTATCGTTGGTATTTGTGAATATTTAGACACTGATTCAAGGCCAATCCTGTATAAATGAGTCTGTAATCAAGGAACACAGCGGTATTTGGCTAATTCTAAAAGAGTCTATTCTCAAGTGTTCACTTTTTCAGGTAGGAGACCAAGTGTGGCTAATCCCAGGCCACTGCGACCCAACTGTCAACATGCACGACCACTTTCTTGGAGTGAGAAAAGGAATGGTAGAAACAGTCTGGCCAATCACAGGTAGAGGGCCTGGTGTGTAACGAGCTAGCAATTCCACAGGAGGCCCAGTTGACAGGTAGTTGTGACCAGAATATTTAACCCTGTAGTGTTTAGGCGCAGGTATTTAAGAAATTAGTTAAATGTAGGAAGTTATTGTCCAACTCTTTAAAGCGTTTTAAAGAGCTGAGCAATACTAAATGAATGAAATAGCAATTCCACAGGAGGCCCAGTTGACAGGTAGTTGTGACTAGAATATTTAACCCTGTAGTGTTTAGGCGCAGGTATTTAAGAAATTAGTTAAATGTAGGAAGTTATTGTCCAACTCTTTAAAGCGTTTTAAAAAGCTGAGCAATACTAAATGAATGAATGAGAAATGTCCCATTAGTGGAAGCATTTTCTCTGCGTGCGCAAAGCACTATTATGGGAAATGCAATCCTGTAATATGAATGGGGTTTAATAAAAATAATAATTTTAACTCTTATATAGCACAAAAATTCATTAAAATATATGATCTAATGCGCTGAATGCGCTGGGTTTGCAATGGAATACAAATTAATCTTTGCAGTACTTATTTGTATTGTTCGCTAAATTCTGGTCAAACCAGATAAAACGCCATAGAAAACAGGTTTGAAAAACTAGTTTGTCAGGAAAAACTGGCTGAAGACTACAGGTTTCCGAATAGCAGATACAATGGATGCATGCAAATGAGATGCAAATGAGACAAGCATTGTATCGACCCGATAGCCTCACTTGTATGACTCTTAAACAAAAGAATATCTCATTACAGGCTCAACTGTAATAACAGCTTTTTTTGCGTTGTCTTCATAAATGTAAAGGTTTTTTTTCTTTGGTGAGACTCAAAAACTATTTATAGTTTAACCTTTTAAGATTTTTTCTTCAAATAGACATTATTTAAGGGCGGAATACTAAGGAAAAGAAAGAGAGGTTCTGCGTACTAAAATAACGACAGTAAGTATATTTTTTCAATATGTAAAGCCAGGGAATAGAGTTCGACTTAGAGCAAGTCTTGTCTAGTTAACTTTGCAACGAGTCTGTTAGTCGGGGAGTTTTGGGTGCTAATTATGGAACGGAAATAATGGGATCAAAGCGAAATTACCGAACAGTCTCAGCTGTAGAAGACAAAAAAGGAAATAGCACGTCTCCGTTTTAGCGCAACTATATGATTTCTCAACTAAGACAACTTAAAGGCATTTAGTAATTAATTGAGCACTTTTCAGCTGCTTTCGATTTTTAGTTTTATTTATGTATGTCGGTGTATCTTTTAAATCGTTGATAAAAAGGCAATAAGAAAATAAGAGGGAAAAAGAGAGGAGGAGAGGAGAAGAAGGAAGGAAAGAAAGAAAGAAATAGAGAAGAGAAAAAAATAATATGGAGGCAGGAGAAGAGAGAGATATGAAACAAAGAAGGAAAGACAGGAGAAAAAAAGGCCAGAGAAGGAAAAATAATAAATCAAAAAAAAAAAAAAAAGAAGAAGAAAATAAAAGAACATTTTAAAAATTAAGGATCCGAATGGTATAACTTTTCCATGAAATTTTAAAGACATTAAAAAAAACCGTTGCCGCCCTCTACTAGTCAGGCTGCTGAAACCATAATGTCTCACACCTAAATAAAGAAACAAGCTAGGCTAAAGCACCATGGAAAGTACCCTTGGGAGACATGGTGCCGGCTAACAGCATGTAACATATGTAGGCCTCAACCTTGATGACTTGTTATAGTTTTCACTGTGGTAGTCTCAAAAAACATTTGAATGTGAAGAGAGATTTTTAAAAGGACTGTGGTAGTTTAGGTCCGAAACATAATTAGGGTTAAGGTCTATTTTACCACACGAAAGACAGAGGCGGAAACGTAGGCGGTTAACGAACTTTACTTGCACTGATCTTTTACCCTGCCACCCGTCCCCTTAATATTTTTTTCATCCCACACTCCAAATTTCCTGACAAAGCTATTCCCTACCTCTCCCCTGTACGTTGTTTTATTTCTTTACCATTAGTGTTCTTGACCAAGATGGCTGTTATTAAAGCTTTCTGTATACTTTAAGCTAGGGGCAAAAACGATAAAGCATTTGATTTACAGCCGATTCACTAACTGTCAAGTCTAATCAGAATTCAAATCTGTTCGTTTTTGGCTTGGTTTTCTGTTGTAAAATGAATGCAAGATGAGTAGTTAACCAGGACATTTCTTAAACAAAAATTGACTCCAAACACATAAAAAAGCCATTGGCTTTTATATCGATTATCCAGGACTTCCTTCCTTTGTTGAGAGGTGATTTTTCTTCATGTGTCCGTAGTTTGGGATAATTAACAAGGCACGCGGAAATTACTGTGGAAATTTTGTCTCTGAGCTTAGACTTCTTACTGTGTTCAATCTACTCTTATTCTAATTTTTGGTATATTTCGAAAGGAGCTGTTTGTTTTTATTCTTGTATCCTAATTTTTAACAGTTGTTTTTCCCGTTTTGGAACTGATCGCAGTTGTTGTCCCGCGCCTTGTTGAGCGAATGAAAAAGTTTTGTTTAGGCAAAGAAGGGCTTGTAGATACGTGCTATGTTTGCCGGATGTTTCCTACACGCTTGTATACAGGAACTAGTTCATTTCACCTGCGTTTTTTAAAAGCGAGGGGAATTTTTATTTCGTTTGAGAACTTTCTAGATTTAGTGGAAAGTGGAACTGAAATAAAAGGTTGAAATGTATACGACTATTCGAACAAAAAAAAGAGAAAAGGGGTTAATTTTGAAATAACATGCAAATAACCCGGCTACGCTTAAGTGGCGTTAAGAAAAAAACAAGCAAACGTTCTGGTACTAAGAAAACGAAAACATGTAAACGCACAAAAATCAGCAGCAAACAAGTAAACAGCCTTGAAAAAGCAGGTAAACAAACAAAAAATAAACAAAAGCCGAACAAGGAAGCATAGAAACACTGACAATAATAACAGTAAATGTTTTTTTTAAAGAAAGCTTATCTTTAGTGGACTTTTAGTTAAAGCCTGGATATTTTACAAAATACTGTTTCAAGCAAACGAACAAGCATCGAGCAAACAAACAAAGTAAAAAAATAAACAAATAAACAAACGATGTAAAAAAAGCAAAAACCAAATTTAAAGAAAAATAAAATAAAAACAAAACAAGAGAAGTCGACAAGATAAGACCCTTCCTTCTCCCGGTTTTCTCCAGCTAATTTAAACATGTAGACTTTACAATCACTTGGCAGGATGGTCACTTATAAGTAAAACTTGTCTCGTACTTCTCTTGTTATGTCTATTTTCTCTAGTGTTTTAGATATTATGCACGTTTTCAGTATTTTCGAGCTTTGCTCATTGTATTTTCATTAAATTAATATTTTCCGGATTAGATTAATAATTTTTAATTATCTATAGTAACTTTTTCAGGCGTTTCATAATTTTTGGGTTTTTGTTTTCTTGTACTGATTTCGCGCCCATTTATCAAAGCATTTATAATTTAATTTGATGTTTTTCATTCCATAGTTAATTTGATGTTCATCCCTCTTATAGTATTTGTGTGTGTGTGTGTGTTTTTGTTTTTTGTTTGTTTTTTTGTTGCGCATGTTTTCACACATTTTTCTAAGTTCTAAAAATTTTTTTTTTCAAAAGTCAGCTTCATTTTCTCTTACTGATCGACAGCCCTGTTTTTATGTTAAGAACTGAAACATCTGGCCGCGTGTAAAGATAATAATGTTTTTGGAAAGAAAACCAAAATTACGTCGTCTTTAATTCCTATCTCTTAGTGATAATCATGTTTTCGACACAAGCATGTCTATCTTTGGTTTTCAACGAAAATGTATTTTTTTTGACGCTTGTTTGATTCCCTAAAATTTAAATCCCCAAAATTCAAAGGCAATTCAAACTTTTTTATTTCGGCCTGGGTTGCGTTAGGTTGTTCTCCGACGTATTTGCTTTCAAAGTAATTTTTAATATGAAATCTTCGTATTTTATTTTCTGCGTACAAAATAAATAAGACTCAAAGAAGATATAAGAATGATAACATGCTTGAGTTGCAGTGACGGGCATCTATTATAAATTTTAAAAAAATTGTCTCTGACTTTAAAAGTTGAAAATGTTTTTAAAACGTTTCGGTTTCAACTGAATCCTTCATCAGACACTAGACTGCATCTCATGGGGCTCTATTTATTGTCAATAGAATTTGCATTCTTCTATTGATTCGTTTTGCTTTTCAGATCGACGAGACACATTTTCCCTCTTGATCTGGCGATGGCTTGTTTTCGAATTCGTAGTTGGTTCAATACTAAATTACCAGAGGACACAAACGAGCTGTAATGTCCTCTGTCGAGGTGTATGAAATGGTATGAAATGAAATTAAGTTAAAAGAGTCGTAATTTTTAATTGAGAGAAACATTATGGCATTACTGAGACAAAAAGCCATTTAATACGTCAAAAATGCCGTAAGCTAGTAGACAGAAAAAAATTAATTTTTCAAATTAACAATTTCAAGTCTTCTTAAATTATAATCTAACAAAGTGAGAAGGAAAACGAAAAGAGATGAGAAAAAGAAAAGGAAATAATCAATGTCGGCCATCAATGAAAGTGTTGACCAAAGCGCGGGAAAAAAGACGCGCGCGCGAAGGAAGCACTAGAGTAGCCAAATCAGAAAGCGACTTTAGAAGGAAGAGAAAATAATGAAGTGATAAAAAGATGAAAACAATTAATAGAATAGAAAAAAGATGTGAACTTTGTCGTAACAATAGCAAATACAAATATAGAAATAAAAACAAAGGATGAGAATTGCGGTTTGAGTGGTTTTAGTGAACGAATAAATAAAGGTTCATTTGCGCGCCAAAGGCTATATAGCCCAATGGCCCTATTATTTTGGTTGGTGTGGTTTTCAAGCTCGCGGCTCATGTACTAGAGATTGTATTCAAATTCCTGTCGTTTAATCGAATCGACTAGAATTGTGGGTCTCTTAGTGAATGACAAACACATGACAGGTTTCTTTGAAACGTATTTGCTATGGATTATCTGTATAAACTCTTTGAATCGACTACAGTTCATAATAGAGGGGGATGGATCCCGTCTGGTCGAGTGTGAATCTAAACTTCAAAGTTTTGCCGCTAAAATATGGCATAAAACTAAATAAAATAGTATTTCTAGAATGGCACTTGGACAACAATTAATCACAAAAACTTAAAACATATAAATTTTTGTCAACAACGTCGAGATTTATCTTGACAGAACTTGCCGGAAAAATAAGCCATCAGTAGTGGAAGGAAACAGTCCTTGAATATTTGAATAAATCATAGAAGACGAACCTATATAGCAGTTAGCAAATCAGTATAATTGTGGTTAGGAAATGATCATCGAGGGATTTTCAAGAAAAAAAAAAAAAGAAAAAATAACGAGAATCATTCTGATTCATAATTAAATGGTTTCAGTGTTTACCTAGTTTTCTTTTGCTCTTTTTTTTCTCTGTTTATTTTTGTCTGACGATCAAAAAAATTGTTATAAAATGGTCCCATTATTTTTTCTCGTTATTACGATATTTTGAATTTGTAGCCGGCATGTTTCGATGTGATTCCTATGTTTAATATTCTTTATTTTAATGAACAACCAAAAAATGATGGTCGAATACATCTTTTATACCTTTTTTTTTCAAACAGGAATGAGCTAAAAGTCATGTTAATTTTAATCGCATTATTCTAGTTCTTTTTTACTTCGCCAAATGTGATCGAGCGTGGGAAGAAATCCGCAAACGAAATTCTCAAACCATAATATAAGTCTGAATCGCATGTGGTCTGTTTTTTAAAAATTATTTTTTCATGAAAAGACTAAGGCTAATCGTAGGCTTTTGAATGAAATTAGTTTTATTCGAGCCGTGCCTCTTGGCAGTCGTTTTTTTTTTTTTTTTTTTTTTTTTTTTTTTTTTTTTAAAAACGGTTTTACAAACCACCACGACCTCGACGTTATACTAGAATTAAAAAAACAGTATTTTACACCTGATTTCAGAATAGTGCGAACTCTCGGGAATTTCAGTTTCGTTCGATCTTCGGCACTCGACCGACATCACTCGACGGCTTGGTAACCAGGCTAATAAGGCGGGTTACTTAGCTATCAATCAGTTCCCGAATGTGGCTTTCGTCCTGACTGCCATTGATAGCTATGCAATCAGCCTGGTTAGTCTGGTTACCAAGCCGTCGAGTGATGTCGGTCGAGTGCTGAAGATCGACCGAAACTGAAAATCCCGAGAGTTCGCACTATTTTGAAATCAGGTGTAAATTAATCATGAAGTTTCACATCAATTCTCGCTTTTCTCTCGGCATGTCTCTCTTTCTCTTACTTATTTAGTCTCTATTTCTCCCTTTCTCTTCATAAGGAAGACTCTTCTTCATCTTCTTTCTTCTTTCTCGTTTCTCCCTCTTTGGCAAAATAAGACTCACCACTCTCCTGACAGTATACTTTGTTGGTTTACGTCGAGGCTCACAATCAGAAGTCATATCGCACAAGCTGTTAGGCGGTACGATTCACGATCAACACTTCGGTTCGGTTTCGACAATTTTGGCCACGAATGTCAGCTAAACAACCGATTATATTCAAAGTTTGATATTGGTGAAAATTTTCTGAAAAACGAATCCGTTAATAAGGTGTTAAAAAGCGGTTTTCTTTTAGTACTTAGTCGAGAACTGAAGTTCATTCAGAGCTGCCTTACTCGGCGACTTTAACTGTAAAGTCTTGACTGGAAAATACACTGAAATGATTAATTAATTACTACATGATTAACGAAAAAGCCGAAGAAATTGAAAGTTAAGAATAGTCTTCGCTGTGCAAAGAGTTCGTGAAACCCAAGCTTGAATAATTTTTGCCATTGAGACACTAAGTTCCGATTTAAACGAAGAGTTTTAATTTGATGACGCAAATTTAGCGATAAAGTACTACGTTTGAGAGGAATTAAAGGAAATGTGGTATCAATACGCGAGAGGAATCCCAAACGAGATATGCTCGTCAAATTTCACACCATCCTAATGAAATTTCATTTGTTCGCTGATATTGTTTCCTTTAAATAGATGGCAAGCGAAAACCGGCCTAGTTACGAGAAGAAGAGTGGCTATGGCTGTCGAGCGATTAATTTTTAACTTGTGTAAAGTATTTGAAAATGTCATGTTTTGACTAGAAGATTTACAGCTTTGTACGGTTGCGTTAAGGTCCTTTTCAAAGAAGTTTATCGCGCCGAATATCTAACCTCCCGCCCCCTTCGTAAGGGATCAAAGTTTTTATCCTAACAACCCGATATTTTTCACTTAGCTGGAAAAAATTCTTGATTTCCTTGAAAGGTCAGAAAAATATATCCTCTTTCTTGACTAACGAAATCTTTAGACTTTGTTTTTGTGTTTCCAGTGTCGAAACTCCGGATACATTCGGTCCATTCGCCTCCATTTAGATAGAGAGTAGTAAGAAGCGGTAACCGCGTGTATACGGGAAGTGGGATTTTACGCGTGATCGTGAAAATACATCAGGTTTTTGGCGTCCTAGCTACGCTCTACATAAAATCGTGGGTAAAAAATGAATAAATTTTGATTGCTTTTGAAAAATGATTCTGTCAGTGTACGAAGTAATAATCCTAGTTTGTCAGTGAAAAGGCTAAATAAACTTTAAACTACGTCACAAGCGGTATTACGACATTCGCAAGCGAAGCAGAAATAAGTGCTTTTCCGAATGGCTAAAAACTACACTCTCAATCCCACACTACGCAAATTTACGTCACAAAAGAAAATTAAGCTTGAATATCTTTATGAAAATTTAATTTTCATTAGGCTATTCATAAGTTTATCTTCTGAATATGTTTCATGAGTAAAGAATTAAATAAAGACGGGGGACGAAGTAAAATCGGAAGTGCGTCGGTTTTATGATATTTTTCAATCAGAAACACGAGCTTAACTGAACTAAAATTCGTATTTAAAATAAAGCTTAGTACAAAAATATTTTGAATAAGTTGTAATTGTATTTTTTAACTTTGTCGTAGAAAAAAAAATAATCGTAAAAATATATAATATAAAGGGAAAAATGGAATGCTCCTAAAAATAATTTTTCCCAGGAACAAGTAAGATATTTTACTTTTTCTCATTTGGCATAATATAATCGATCGATAGGGGTTAGTTTTTTGGACAGGTTTTGACGGGGGCGGGTTACGGGGGTGATCTCGAACGCGATTGGTTTATCGGTATGTGAATTAAATACGAACATGACATTTTTCATGAGCGAATTATCTTCCGCGTTGCTATGACGATTTCTACAGTCGATCTGGTTGATTGTTTTTTGGACCAATCAGAGAAGAGTACTTGATAACGACTCGATAAATACGAAGTGCACAACTTAAAATTTTATTCTTAGTGTTTGATTCCTGTTTGTGAAGACAGTTATACTTTCGCCCAAGAATCAGTATATTTTTTTAACAAACGCATTTCATCTACACTTTCATCAATATCCCAAGAATTCCTTCAAGTAAACAAGCATGGAAAATCAAAACACAACACAAGTTTTAACCTTTGAGCAGGTTTCACGACTTCAAAACGTCCTTAACCAAGTTGTTCAAGTCCACGGCCGAGGGAACTTTCCAACTCTCGATGTCCATTTGAGAAGTCTTATTGAAACGGTGTCCTTTGGACTGAAAAAAGAGGGGTTGAAAATCAAAGACATTCGCCTGAATGGCAGCACGGCAAGTTATATTTTGAGCAAGGATAACATCACAGCGTATAATGACATTGACTTGATCTTTGGTGTCGAGATTCGTTCGCATTCGCATCTTCAGCAAATCAAGACTGTGGTACTTTCGTCTCTCATAGACTTCTTGCCAAACGGTGTCTCCAAGGACAAGATGTCCAGTTGTACACTCAAGGAAGCTTACGTTCAGAAAATGGTGAAAGTTTCGAATGACAACGATCGATGGTCCCTCATTTCTCTCTCGAACAACGAGGGGAAAAATATCGAACTGAAGTTCGTCGACAACATGCGTCGGCAGTTTGAGTTCTCCGTCGACTCGTTTCAAATTAAGCTGGATTCCTTGGTGGGATTTTACAAACTTTCTACCGTTCCTATGCAGTCTAATTTCTTTCCAACCGTCGTTGCTGAATCCGTGTATGGTGACATCAAGCTAGCACTGTTTCACTTAGATAACCAACTCATCGCTACCCGAAATCCCGAAGAAATTCGTGGCGGTGGGCTTCTAAAATACTGCAACCTTCTCGTACGAAATTATATTCCAGAAAACATAAATGAAATTCACATGCTCGAAAGATACATGTGTAGTAGATTCTTTATAGACTTTGGTGATATCGAACAACAGCGACAAAAATTGGAAAGCTATATGGCCAGCCATTTCATTGGCGAAGACCACACCAAGTACCAGTATTTGATGATATTATATTCAATCGTTTCCAACTCCACTGTTTGCCTGATGGGACATGAAAGACGACAGACTCTAAGGCTGATTACCAACCTTGCTAAATCCTACTATCCCAATGGATTTGGATACTGTGATGGTTTTGGGACGGTATGTTATGGAAGCCCCAACGGATATATGTACACTTCCCCACCAAGTGATGCACAGAGCTGGAACCCTTACCAAGGGAATTTAGTACAGTGTTACTAACTGGGCAGCCTAAAGATGGCTCAAAAGACGGGCAGAAAAACTTCAAAACAAAAGACAAAAAAATATTAATATGACAATTCAAATATCATGCGAGTACGACCGTGTGTTTATAGAGTTTTATTTTGTAGAGAATATGCTAGCTTCACGGACGTATGCAACTCAAACGTATATATATTTGTATTATCTCGTACTTATTATAAATATTATGAAGATCGTTTAACTTTCTATTCCATTCACCTGCAGAAACCCAAAATCAATCATTAATGTATATATTAAAAAAAAGAAAAAAAGAAAATGCTGGGATATATTACTGTTCAAACTTGGAATCTTGAGTTTGAGCAGTTTTCAAGCGCTGAGGTGATTGAAATTCGAGACTGTAATCGTTTTACGATATTTAAAAACATTTCGTAATCTGGTCTCGGCGTTCATCTTGAACAACAATAAAAATTAAGACATTATATTTTGCTTGAATACTACAAATCTAAATTTAAAAGGGTTTAGTCAAATAGTGATCAGTGCAATAAAATATTTTTCCTAAACGTCTTTTTGTGTGTTGATCGTGCTTGTTGATTTGATGGACTTCCTCGCTCGTAGATTGTATTTGTACCAACAACTTCAATTTAATTTTCTAATTTTATAAAGGGTTTTTATTTCTACGCTAGTGAAAAAAATAAATCTCGTTTTGTCAATAGAATTATTTGTTGAAAGAAAATTGTCAAGTTTCGCGTAGGTGTTCAAAGAATCAGAGTCGAGAAGTTGGAAGGTGTGTGTGGGGGGGTTTAAATTATCACCCAATAAGAAACCTCCATTTTGGCCTTTTGACCAATCAACATTCAGTAGGTTTAATATTTTGTATTTTCCACATCGCCGATCAAGAAAAATATTTAAAGTCATAATATTTTTTTCAGATTTTAGAGCTTGAAATCCATAAAAAAAGTTATTTATCATGTCTAAGAGCGATTTACAAATAAAAACTTGATTTTAGTCCGAAAATATGGATAGACTTCTGTTTACATATCATACTAAGAATAAAATGCATATAATCCCTAAGTTTGAATAGTTCATCTATCGATGAAGATCTAAAAAGTTTTATTTTAGTAAAAAAACAAAAACATTTAAAAGCTCTAAGTTTTACTCAGAAATAATCATATATTCGTAGTCGAAGGATTAGTTGAAACTCGTCTAATATTTGAGCATGAAGCCATCGACGCGCGAAAAAAACCTTTAAAACAACGACAGGCACTTTCAGTGCCGATTGGGATTTCGTTTTTCTTTAATTCCCTATGTGAAACAGATTTCAAACTTCATGATATATTTTTCGTATTCTTTTCTGCCGATCATTTCCAATCCTGTTATTTATTTCGTACAACATCGTACGAGAAAAAGGAATCTATTTTTACGCTTCGTGGAACTATCTAATTTTGTGGTTTTAGGAGAACAATCGAGGCGTGCAGTAATATAGGTAGTTTTCCTTATTCATAAATAGATAATTAAAACTGTGTATTTCAAAAATGGATATTTTCGCTCGACTCTGAACGAACGTGTAGAATTTCTACGTCGAACGAAACGGAAACCACTGTCCCCAGAAGACAAATATAAGATCACTTTGAAAACAGAATATATAAGTTCGGAAAATACCGCTTTTAGAAATTACACAGAACGATAGAAATACTTAGTACGAGTTCTTTTGGAACTTAAGAATAAGTAATAACTTAAATTCGTTTAGGAATCAATTTTTGTGTGGTAATTTTGTTTTTTTTCTGAGGGTCAGTTGCTAAGCTATCCTTTGGTAGCTTCGGAATGTCAACGGATCAGGTGAGCGTACGAAGTGTTCAACATCTAAGATCAAAACAAGCTTATTTTCATGAACGAGAACAAGAGAAACGAGACAGGAAAAAAACAACATTAAATCATAATCACTAATTATAAGAAGATGTCTGAAAATGCCTTGTTTCAATGAATAAAGTTTACTAGTTTAAATTTGCTTCGTAAGCATTTTTGATCAGGACATATAAGGTTTCATGCTTTGCAAATACTTCAAATAATGTCAGCGTGGGCGATTACAATTGAATCTAGCTACAGACCGGACCGACGTTATATTATCCCTATAGTTTAAAAAGTTTTTCTGTGCGATAGCTATCTCTTACTTGGCTTGAGGATATTTTTCGAAATTAATCTATTTGGAATGATATTATCATTGGTTTTATAGTTCGGTTGCATTTATTACTATATTCATATATGTTATTATTATTTGTTGTTATTATTATTATTGTGGTATTTACTTTCCTTGAGATATTCAATGAAAATATTTATCAAAAGTTATTCCCCTCCCCCCCCCCCTTATTATCGTTTGTATTGTTGTTTTTGGGCTTCATATAAACAGACTAGTTTTCCTTCCTTTAATCTTATTATCCATATTCTTATCATCATCGATATTGTTACTTGATTGATTTTACTACTGTATTTGTAATTTTAGTGTGACTATTTATTATTTTCTTGTAATGGCAAAGTTTAGATAGGTGGGAGGTCATAAATACCCCACCAAGTGAACAGGCCTTTATTCAAATAGACGAAACACACTCAAACTCGCGAATAAGTAAAGGTCCAGCTCGATTGGTTACTGTACACGTGATACTTTAGACTTTGAACCTTAGGGAACTGATATGTTCAAAAGAGAAGTGAGATGGAAGATTGGACGGGGACAAACTGTCGTTTTGCTTACATATACTTTCTGAAATATCGTACAAATCTTGACCAACCTCCCACTTGAAAGGAATAATTCCTACGACTCCCCCCTGACCTAATTATTGTTCTTTAAGTCTGCATTGGTGCCGTTTCAACCAACGTTTTTAGGACTAGAAATAAAGCTGAAAAAACCCCGCTAATTTTTGATACTTAGTAGTCCAAAGTACTTATTATAGCTAGAATGAAGGACCAGTATCTTTATGGTAAGCCGATTTATGAAGTTTTATTTTTTAAACTTCATTGTAGACTAAAGAGACCTGAGAAACTGGCAGGTTTTTAGCTTTAAAAACCTTTAAACCTCTTTTTGTCTCAGGACTGAGGAAAATGGCTGACTTGGGGATCTCGAAGGTCAGTTGATTAAAGTCAGGAAGATAAGTGTTGTTCTTCTGTGAGTTTCTCAATCTTCTTTAGTCCATCCATCCATCCACCC